AATAAGCAAATATTGTTAACAATTAAAATGACGTTTAAATAAAAAGGTCTTCGCCTGGCGCCAAAAAACAAATAACGATGGCGCCAGGCGGACCTGTCTGGGGAGCGCATTCCATAGATTGGGCGCCACCACAGAGAAAGCCCTCCTCCGAGTACCTACCCTCCTAATTTCTTTCACAGAGGGTTCCCGCAGAAGGGCCTCTCCCACAGATCTCAAGGGGCGGCCGGGCATATATGGATGTAAGTGCTCCTTCAGGTAACCAGGACCCAAGCCGTTTAGGGCTTTATAGGTCATCACCAACACCTTGAATTGGGCCCGGACTTCAATGGGAAGCCAGTGAAGCTGACGGAGGACTGGAGTCATGTGAACATAATGTGCAGTCCCCGTCAGCAGCCTGGCAGCTCTATTTTGAACCAACTGAAGTATCCGGACTGTCTACAAGGGAAGCCCCACATAAAGCGCATTACAGAAGTCAAGGCGGGAAGTCACCAGTGCGTGTGTCACCGTCGCCAGGCAGTCGTACTCCAGGTAGGGGCGCAGCTGATTAATCAGCCGAAGCTGAAGGAAAGCGCTCCTCGCCGCCGCTGCCACCTGAGCTTCCAATGAAAGCTCCGGGTCAAGGAACACTCCTAAGCTGCGGACCTTGTCCCTAAGAGGGAGTGCAACCCCATTCAGGACCAGGTCAAATCCACCCTCTCCGAAGCCCAATCCGCCAACCAACAGAACCTCCGTCTTGTCTGGATTGAGCTTCAGTTTATTGGCCCTCATCCAGCCCATTACCTTGGCCAGGCACCGGTTAAGCACAGCCACTGCCTCACCCGGATTGGTGGAAAACGAGAGGTAGAGCTGGGTATCATCAGCGTACTGATGATTCTGCAGCCCACACCTCCTGATGACCTCTCCCAGCGGTTTCATGTAGATGTTAAACAGCAAAGGGGACAAAATGGGCCCCTGCGGTACTCCATGGCATAGCTGCCATGGCGCAGAGCCATAGTCCCCCAGCACCACCTTCTGGAATCGGTCATTGAGATAGGAGCGGAACCACTGCAAAGCAGTGCCTCCGACCCCCAATCCCGCTAGCCTATCCAGAAGGATACCATGGTCGATGGTATCGAAAGCCGCTGAGAGGTCCAGGAGAACCAACAGGGACGCACTCCCCCTGTCCTTCTCCCTGCACAGGTCATCGTACAGGGCGACCAAGGCAGATTCAGTACCGTACCCGAGTCTGAAGCCGGACTGAAATGGGTCCAGAGAATCAGTTTCATCCAAGAGTGCTTGGAGTTGTCCCGCCACCACCCGCTCTGACACCTTGCCCAGAAATGGGATGTTGGCCACAGGTCTGTAGTTAGTGGTCATCTCTGGATCCAGTGACGCTTTCTTCAGGACCGGTCGTATTACCGCCTCCTTTAAAGGGGCAGGCACCCGACCCTCCCTCAGAGAAGAGTTAACCACTTCCAAGATCCAGGTCCCAATCCCATGGTTGGAGTTATTTATTAACCAAGATGGGCAAGGGTCCAATAGGCAAGTGGTGGGATGTACTCGTCCAAGCGCCTTGTCCACATCATCGGGCTGCAATAACCGAAATTCATCCAATAATGCTGGACCAGACGGCAGCATTGGCGTCTCCCCAGAAACCTCTGATTCATTAGTGGTGTCCAGCTCGTGACGAATCTGAGCGATTTTCTCCCTGAAATGCCTGGCAAAGTCGTCACAGCGGGCCTTTGAGGGTGGAACCAGATCTTCCTTAGGACCCGGGCGAACCAGGCCTTGCACCACTCGAAAAAGCTCCGCCAGACGGCATTATGAGGAGGCAATGGAAGCAGAAAAAACCTTCTTTTTTGCCACCCTCACCGCCACAGCATAGGCCCGATAGTGGGCTCTCAAGTGTGTTCGGTCAGATTCATCCCGTGATCTCCTCCACCTACGCTCTAGCCGTCTCCCAACCTGCTTCATCGCCCGCAATTCAGGTGTATACCAAGGGGAAGAGTGGGCTCTGCCTGGTGGGAGAGGACGCTTAGGAGCGATCGTGTCAACAGCCATGGTCATCTCCCCTGTTCCACAGTTCGACCAGAGCCTCGACAGGAGCACCAGTCTTGTCAGCCGGAAACTCCCCCAGAGCCTTCAGGAATCCATCCGGATCCATCCGGCTCTGGGGGCGGACCCACGCAATCGAGTCCGCACCCTTACAGAGGGAGAGGCCGCTCTCGAGCACAAACCTCACCAGGAAGTGATCTGACCATGACAGGGGAGTCAAACATAAATTCCTCACCCTCAGACCACCCTCTTCCTGTTCCGTCGAGAAAACCAGGTCTAGAGTGTGTCCACGTTCTGAGCTCACCATTGTCCTGTGCCAGTTCCACTGCCAGGTGGTACCCACAGTGGTGTGGGGCAGAAACAAAATTTCTGACATCAGTCCCAAGTGCTAATTGGGCTCTTTGGAGGTGTCAGCAGCACTTGCCTGGCAGATTACTTAGCTACAGTGGCAAGGATTTTTTTTCAACTCTTGCCAAGCAACTCTGTTTCGGCTTGCTGTGTTGTCTCGGACTGGATGACATGGCAAGCCCAGGGCTGGAAGCAGAACTGTTCAACAACCATGGTGTGTTAGAGAGGCTTACAAGCCTAGCTAATGAGTTTATGTGCAACCTTGAGTAAGCCATGGTAGATTTAGAAACATAGAAGCAAAGCAAGGCAGAAGGGGTCTCCCAGGCCATCTGGTCTGATTTGCAACTCCAGCTGGCTCTGCTGAAGTAATCCCGAACATGTGGTCATCCAATAATTCCTTGAACACTCTCAATGATAGGGCCCCAACCACACCCCATGGAAACCCATTTTATAGCCTAGGGGTCCTAGGAGGGTGTGGTGCTGGCCTCCACTTCCTGAGGGTGAACTGCCTCCACGTTTCCCCAGCTGATTCCTCAGTGGCCCCTTTCTCCTCATCATGTCTGGAAGGGGGCTGCTGCTGGTTGGCCCAGCAGTTCCTGGCAGTGTCCAGGAACTGCTCCCCCTCCATTATCTCCTGGAGAAAGGTGATGGCATCCTCTAGTCCAGTGGCTTGTAGCCACTGGTCCATGGACTGGCTCTGGTCTGTGGGAGATTTCCTGCCAGTCTGTTAGGGGGCCTACATCCTGATTTCCACTGACCAGTGCCTGGGCTGACTGTACTCCAGTTGGCATCACATTCACAGGGGTGTGCTGGTGCTGCCAGAGGGGGCCAGGGAGGGGAGAAACGGCTCAGTGGGAGCTGGCTAGGAACCACACTACACTGATTTCAGTATTGTGTTCTTTTGCTAATAGCTTTTGTTGGTTGGTTTCTGGTTGTTTGGGAAAATTTTCTTTTCTTCTTTTCTTTTCTTTTGGCATTATGTTTGGAAACCAATACACAGAATACTGTATTATGTGTATGGTGGCCTTTTGTTTCTACCTCAGCAGTCCCTGAGGCAGTTTTCCTGTTTTTGCCCTTCCCCAGCTGTGGAAAGGTTGAAAACCACTTGTCTAGACTCTTCACCTTTTCCTCAAGGAGGGACATCAGCTTGGACAGCAACTTGCACTTAGTGCAAGTGTATCCCAACTCCTCCTGGGGGAGGAAGACAAATATTGCACAGGAGCTGCAAGCAACTATCAGACCTGCTGCTCCTGCCATGGCCGTCTCCTGGCCTGGCATAGGCCACCCCTCAGAAAGCCTTGTTTCTACTTGCCCTCTGCACCCTTGTCTTGCCTGCACTATGTTACCCTCACCTGAGACTGAGAACCGTGCTCCCTCAGTGAAGACAAAGTCCCTGGGGAAGAGAGTCCCCAGGCAACTAAGGGATGCAAACAAGGGATGACACCCTTGTTGTGTTGCCTGTTGGCTCCACCAACCACTGAGTGCGGCTTTATAAGCCTCAGAAGCCACTGACCCTGCCCTCTCTGCTCCCTCCTGGGCCTCTCTGGTCCCTCTAGCCCTGCCTTTCCTTCCTCTCCACTCCTCCTGCCCCCACCTCCTGATTTGGATGACATAAAAAAGCCTCCAGCTTAAAACCCTGTGAGTGTCATTTTTATCTAAAACCCGCATGTGAGAAGACTTGTTGGTAATCCTATCATCTATTGCCAGATATGATGGGTCAGCATGTAGGTTATCTCACCTATGCTTCTTTTTAAAAATTAACTTTATGTATTTATTATATTTTTATCCCCAGAAAATATTATTGGGGGATATTATTATATTTTCTCCTATTGTGAAACTCAAGGTAGCTACCTTTGGTTCCCAGGTGGTCTCCCCTCCAAGCTCAGACCAGCCCCAGACCTGCCACAATTTTTAATAAAGTTCCCAATTAAATTTCACACTAGGAAATGCTATTTCTGCTATTCAAACCTTTCACTTCTGCCACTAGAATAAACTTTTGCTACCTAAAAGACATTCAGTAGCCTAGTTGCTGTGGTGTAGGCATGGAACTGACACTACCACTAGAGGCAGCCTTTTAAAATGAATAAAGAAGTAAGATGTTTATTAATGGAGAATATTTACCGAAGTGAATGTTATATTTCAAATAATACATTGAGATTGTTTAAATATTCTTAAATATGGTTGTTCTCTATTCCTAAAGTGAGTCTTTCCCAGCTAAGTAATATCTCAATAACCTTTTCTTTATATCAGATTTCCCTTATTTCTACCCCAGAAACAGGAACAAGTTTAGGAATTACCCTAAACTACTTTACTAACAGGAATGCTTTCCTCTGCTACAACTTCTTCCTGCTTCTGGCTTCTAGAATGCTTTTGGTATGTTTCAGGGACTGCTTGCTAATGTTCTCTTTGGTCAGATAAAATAGGAATATAGAATATGTAATGTATAATTTAGTTCACTCATAAAAATTATCATGATTGGTATGTTAAATGTAAAAGTATATATATGTAACGATTTTGCTGCATTTACATAAATTTTACAGTATATTGATAATTTTATGAGGAAACCAAGTTATGCATAATATAACCTTATTATTATCTGTTTTATTTTCCTAAAGCAGCCTCCCGCAACCTTGTGCCCTGCATGTTTCAGACTTCAATATACAACACTTCCTAACCATTGGCCATGCTGCCTGAGGTTCATGGAAGCTGAAATCCAAAGTATCTGGAAGGCTCCTGGTTGTAGAAGATTGTCCCAAAACAACAAAGTGACTTTAAATTAATAAACAAGTGTTTTGAAAAAAAGTATTGCTTATTTTTCAATATTTCTCCAAATTTCTGTTTTTTACTCAGAGAAAAATGTTTTTGTTTCATGGTTTCAGTTTCTGGGAATCTTACAGCTCTAGCTTTGAGCACTGGGTTTATGCCTCTAGGAAATAACATTTGTGGAGTAGTAAAATTGAACAGCTTCATCAGTGCAACTTTACTTTTCTGTTTCGTTGATAACAAATTATTTGCATCTGGGTCAACAATAGGACCTTAACAAAACTGTTTAATCTTGATGATTTTTGAAAAACTGGATCATAGTTGTCTACGTTCAATTAAGGTTGATTTGTCTTGTTCTTTTTTATGGTGATCTTTTAACATTTGAATTCATTCCAAAAGCTTTTTAATTTGTTCTATTTTCTCTCTCTTTTTCTTAGATGCTATTGCTAAAAAAGTATCCTTTCATATATGCTTTCCTAGCTTCCCATATTGTTGCTGTAGAAACATCACTTGTATTATTTAATCTAAAAAAAATTCCAATTATTTTCAGACTTCATCAAAATATCTCCTTGTAATAAAAGTTTATCATTCATTCTCCATCTTCTTCCTCCAACTTGTTCTTTTTGCCAAATTATTTCTAATGGACTAGCATCAGAAAGTATCTTGGACTTGGATCTTTACAGGCTCTAATTTCATAATTAGATGTTTAGATATCTGGCATACACCAATCCTTGAATATGTCTGATGTCTATCAGAGAAAAAGTATAACCTTTAAGGCTAGGATTCTTCCAGGTGTAACATTTTCATATATTTAAAAACATGTTTAGGGAGTTTACTTCCATTTGCTTTTTCAAAACTTGTCCTTGTTAGGATCTGTAATTCCAGTCATATCACCAGGAATCAAAATGGCTCCTCCTTGAAAATCCAACATCTGTTGTAGTGTGCACATGGCTTCCATTTAGAACATGTTTGTGTGCCTCTTGTGAGGCTGGCTTGGTGGCAAGTGGGTGAAATGGTGTATGACATGGGTGATCAGCCAAACAGGAAGGGTGTTCACTGGTGGAGAAAGTGGAGAAGTGAATGTGGGGACAACCGCACAAATGAGTAGATTAATGACTAATGAGTAGACCAGTACTCCATTGAGTTGGGGGACAATGGTGGCTGGGAACATGTCCAGGGAGTGTGCAGACTAATGGAGGAGAGACGCACAACACAGGCAGGAGTGTTGGCATTGGTTTCCAGCAACCGAGGCTGATGGGATGCATACTGCCATTTGGAGGGAGGAGACTAGTCTTGAATAGTCATGAGTACTCGTATTTCACAAATATGTGGACACAGGACACAAGGTAGAGAGACAGCGAGTCAGAAGGTGCCTCCCGGGCCATCTAGTCTGACCCCTGGCTCCAGCCCGCTTTGCTCATGACATGCCTGTCATGTGCATGTCTAGCCTATCCTTGAACACTCTCACCGATGGGGCCTCAACAACCTCCTGTGGATCCCCATTCCCTACTCTCGAGGTCCTAACTGTCAGGAAGTACTTCCTGGCATCCACCTTGAATCTTGATTCCCTGAGCTTTTCTCCATTGGAACATGTCCTGCCCTAATCTGCAGGAGGAAAAGTTCACAACCCACCTTTGTGTGACACCCCCTCACATAAAGAAGGTAACTGCATAATATCCATTTGTTAAGTATGAGGAGCCTTAAACCATTTTACACAATAACAAACTTAGAAAAAACAGAGAGGTTCTAATTGTTGTAAACTGCTCAGAGAGCTTCAGCTATGGGGTGGCATTGAAATAAAGAGATAAGATGATAATATTGAGGCAAGATAGTACAGGTAGTATAGGCAGTAAGCAATTATAATGCAAGGTCCAAACAAATTGTATCAGTCCGAATTCTCAGAAAACCTATCAACATAAACTTCATTCAAGTCTACACCATAACAACAGATAACGAAGAAGAAATCGAAAACTTTTATGCATGCATTTAAGAGGAAATGGATAAATCACCAAAAGAAGACACGTTGATAACCGTAGGTAACTGGAAAGCATTTCCAGTCTGGAAACAAGAATCCAGTGTTGTGGGAGAACCATATGAAGAACCACTTAGAATACTGAAAAGTGAAATGAAAGCTGCCTGAAAGCACTTGGTAGGAAGAAAGCACCTAGAGTGGATTGAGTAACAACAGAATGATTCCAAGCTGCCAAGACTGAATTGGTCCTAATCCTATCAAGATCCTATGTCAGCAAATGTGGGAAGCAAAACAACGGTCCACACACTGGAAACATTCAATGTTTATTATTTATTGTTGTAAGCCGCCCCGAAGCTTCGGCAAATGGGGCGGCATAGAAGCTTTCTAAATAAACAAACATTCCAATCTGTAAGAAAGGAGATGTAAGAGAGTGCTGCAACCATAGGACCATTGATTGCACTAATTTTGCACACAAGCAAAGTGATTCTGTAAGTGTTGCAACAAAGAATATTACCCTGTATGGAGTGAGAAATGCCTGATGTTCAAGCTGAATTTTGAAAAGGAAGAGGCACTCAAGATCATGTCACAAATATACATTCACAGATAAGTATATGCTTGATAGACTACAGCAAAGCATTTGACTGTGGATCACAAGAAACTATGGATAGTTCCAAAAGAAATGGGTGTTCTTTTGTACTAGATTTGTAACCTGTATTGAGGACAACCTACTGCTAGGACAGAATAAGAAGAAACAAAATGGTTTCCTATTAGGCATCAGATAAGGGTTTATTTTATCTTGCGCAAGAAGAAAGTGCAAAGGAGGAGTGCAGTATAATAAGAAAACAAATCATGACCACAGAAGTATTGTTAATCTCAGCAATAAAGAAACTGGAACATGGAAACAGAAACAGAGCAAGTCAGAAGGAACCTCCAGGGCCATCTAGTCTGACCTCTAGCTCCAGCCGGCTCTGCTCATGACATGCCCACCATGTGCATGTCTAGCCTATCCCTCACCGATGGGACCTCAACCACCTCCCATGGAAGTCCATTCCATCCCCTCGGGGTCCTTATGTCAGGAAGTACTTCCTGGCATATAAATTGAAACTTGGTTCCCTGAGCTTTGCTCCATTGGAGCTCATCCTGCCCTCCTTTACAGTGGAGAACAGGTCTCTATGCACCTCAGTGTGATACCCCCCCCACATACCTGTATGTTGTCTACTGATCCCTTCTGAGTCTCCTCTAGGCTGAAGAGACCCAGTTTCCGCAGTCTCACCTCATATGGCACCCCCTGCAAACGGGCCACCAACCATGTAGCCCTACCCTGCACTGACTCTAACCAGGCTATATCCTTCCTGTAATGAGGGGGCCAAAACTGAACACAATACTCCAGTTGTGGGTGCACCGGAGTCATATAAAGTGGTAGTAATACCTCTCTCGATCTAGAAGCCACACTTCTGGCTGCGCAACCAAGAGTGACGTTCACCCTCTTAACCACTGCATTACACTGCTGACTCATGTTTAGCCTGCAGTCAGCCAGCACCCCAAGATCCTTTTCACAAGTGCTGCTCCTCAGCCACTTGTCCCTTAAGCTGTACTTATGACACCCATTCCTATGCCCCAAGTGCAAGACCTTGCACTTACCTACATCCTGTTGTCATCCTGTTGTCTCCTGCCCACTTACATAGTCTGTCCCTGCTGCTCAGTTGTGGCCACTGCCCTGGTTTTAGAATCATCTGTGAATTTGATCAGCAGGCTGTTCACCCCTTCTTCCATGTCATTGATGAAAAGATTAAACAGGATCGGCCCCAGCACAGAGTCCTAGGGGACCCTGCTTGTCACTGGCTGCCATCCTGATGATTTCTCACTAATGGTTACCCTCTGCTTTCGGTCAGTCAACCATGCCCTAATCCATCGGACATTGCATTGGTCTATCCCAAAACTCATGAATTTCTCAACCAGGATATCATGGGGCACTTTGTCAAAGGCCTTGCTGAAATCCAGGTAAACCACATCCACTGCATTCCCTCCATCTAGTCACCTTGAAACCTTGTCCTAGAATCCTACAAGGTTTATCTGGCAGAACCTGTTATTGTGGAAGCCATGTTGTGTGACCGCCAGCCTCCCTTCCCTATCTAGCATCACTAGATCTCTCGCTATTATGAGCCTTTCCATTGTTTTTCCTACAATGGACGTAAGGCTAACTGGTCTGTAATTCCCCATGTCCCTTCTACTACCCTTTTTGAAAATTGGGACCACTGACGCTCTAGTCCTCTGGAACTTGTTCTCCATGAGGCCTCAAAAATGGAGGCCAGTGGGTGTGAGAGAACCCCTGCCAACTCTCAAAGTACTCTCGGGTGTAACCCATCAGGGCCTGGCACATTTGTAATGTCCATTGCCCTGAGGAGCTTCTCGACTTCTAGGGGGGTGACTGTAATCAGTGCACCTAAGTCCCTGGCGTCATCTAATCTCTCATGCAGATCTCCCCTACCCTGCTTTGGGGAGAACACAGAGGCAAAATAGTCATTTATCATCTGTACCTGTTCCCTCACATCAGTCACTGGATCCCCTTCCTCCTCATTTAACGGTCCCACTAATTTACTCACCTTCCTCTTGCTATTTGTATGCTTATAGAAGCCCTTTTTGCTGCTCTTGATATTCTTTGCAAGTCTTGGCTCATAATCAGCCTTAGCCTTGTGAAGAATCCTTCCGCAACAGGCCTCTTCCTCCTGGTATACCCTTTTGTCTATTTGCCCCAGTACCCATTTCCTACGGAGGTTTCTCTTGCATCTAATCCCTCTCTTTTCGCATCCATGGTGGCACTCTCATTCGCCTCCCCGCCTTACTAACTAGAGGTATTGTCAAGGCTTGCACCTCCAAGACCTCCCTTTGGAGTGCCATCCACCCCTCTTCAACTCCCTTGCTTTCCAGTAACCTATCCCAGGAGACTTTCCCCAGTCTGGCTTTCAGTTGGCCAAAGTTGGCCCTCTTGAAGTCCTAGCTTCTAGTGCTCTTACTGCTGCACATCCCCATTCGCCTGATCTCAAAGCAAAGGATGGAGTGATCACTTGCATCCAGAACTCCCCTAATCTGTATCTCATTTATCAGCTCCTCCCTGTTGGTCAAGACCAAGTCAGGGATGTCCCCCCTCCTCCCATTGCCTCTCGGACTCTTTGTGTGAAAAACCCTCCCTCTATAGCTTCTAGGAAGATTTTGCATACCTTGATTAATTTATTAATACTGCAGAGGGAGACTGCAGCTGACAAATTTGCAGAAGACTGAGGCTGGGAAGTGCAGTACTGTAGGCATTTTTGAAGTTTGAAGGCGAAGAACTTGTACAGAATAGTATTCCTGATCACTATTCCTGAGTTTGCAAGCTGGGCAGTGATGAAAGTGGACAAGAAAAAAATTTATGTACTTATAAAATAGTGCTGGAGGAGAGGAACTGGACTGAAGAAAGATGAACAAATGGGTCCTTGGTACAATCAAGACAGTACTTGCTCAGAAAGCAAAAATGACAAAAAGTATGACACAAACTTCCATAATTAGGGCTCATCATCAGAAAGCAAGAGTCAGTAGAGAAGACAATAACACTGGGGAAAATCAAAGGCAGAAGAAGTGGAAGATGAATTACAAAAT